TGATGTTGTGGAACAGTGATTGTCAATGGAGAATGAATCCAATTTAACCAAAGTTCCTTGGCTGAGGGAGAAATACAGACAGACAAAGCAGGAGACTAGATGAAGGACGGCAAAAAAGTGAAGAACAGTTAGAAAGGCAAGTCATCTAAAAAAACCCCAAAAGATCAAGGCACGCAAGCGTGGCTCAGTCGGTTAAGCATCCGACTTCAGCTCAAGTCATGATCTCATGGCTAGTGAGTTCGAGCCCCGCATCAGGCTCTGTGCTGATGGCTCAGAGCCTGGAGCCTGCTTCGGATTCTGTGTCTCCCTCTCTCTTTGCCCCTCCCCGACTCTCACTCTCTCTCTCTAAAAAATGAATAAACATTTAAAAAAATGTTTTAAATAACCCCAAGAGATCATTCATCACAGTGACCACTTTTGGCTGTGTGCAAAATTCACTGTGCCACGGTGGCAAACCTCTCTGCTCGCTGTCCGTGTTCAAAACGCTAGCGCAAGGTGAACTCCATGCAAAGACTCACGGACAGTGGGTCCATTTAGCTCAGAGATCCCACCTCAGCAAGAGAGGCAGGAGAACAGAAAGGAGGCAACTTAGCGCGGTGTTTAAGAGCACACGTTGTACAGTTAAACTGCCTGTGTCGAATTGCAGCTTTGGCTTTTATTAGCCACATCACCGCAGGCAAGTGTGTTAACCTCTCTGTCCCTCAGCTGGTTCACGTGTAAGATGAGGACATAACCGATCCCACTTTAGAAGGATTCTGTGAGGATGAAATGAGATCACCTAGTTAGTTTAAGCTCCGAGCACAGGACCACATACAAAGTTCGTTATCATTATTACTTGAAAAATTCCCCAGAAATAAACTCTTTGGTCTTCGTCACATACAAAACTGTAAAAGGTAGACAGGTGGCCCACCGACCTTTCAGAGAGGTTCCACAGTGCTTCCAATCGGATAGGCTTGGGCACAGAGCCCATACCCCAAAAGTTCACCTTTTAGTGTCCCACCTGCACGTGTCCTACCCGCACAACTAAAACAAGCAGAGGCCATGTTGTTACTAACACGGGTAAAAGATGTGGGAAGGCTCGGCCGAGCACCGAGCTGTGATCGGTACTGCTGCTCTAACGGAGAAGGCGTCCTAGGGTACCTAGAAGGAGAAGAGTACAGTGACCCCGGGGGGACTATGTCTCTTTCTGCCACTGCAGTAGCCTGAAGATCACACCTCATTCTCAAGGACTTCACGAAGAACCTATCCTGCACCGTACCAAGAACATCAGAGCGCTTACAAGGTCAACACTAAGAAACGCTGTCAGCCATAACATACAGACAGGTTTTAAAGTAAGCAATGTAGGGGTTTGTTTTTACTTCAAAACCCAAATATGCTTTTTGGTGTTATCTTTTCCAAAAGCAGGACACTCTGCAATTGGCAATATCTTAGTGCCAACTCTCAACTCCCCGCTAAGAATTAAGAACACAGCAACAACAACAACACATACTCTATACGTCAGCCTGTAGTTACTTTCACGAACAATTATGTTCTCATGAAATCTTTCACAGTCACTACGAAGCCAACTGACTGGTCTGTCTTCTGTATATGTCGCCCACCTTGACCTATACAGGTAATACTGAGTAGTAAAACTACCAAAATTAGAGGTCGGGGGAAATATGAGGGAGAAGAGTTGAGAAGATTTACAAAGTCAATCAGGAAGTACAATGTCAAGAATTCACCACATTTTGGATTTGGAGCATGCGCTCTAGGCTCAGACCCAGCCTGATGGAAAAAGCCCCCCGAGTGGAGACCGCTGATCCCCAAGAGGCTGGTCTGCCAGATGCCTGGCCTTGCCCAGAGTCTGACCACATCTGGCATGTTCCGGGACAGGGCCAGCTGGGACTCCATCCCAGGCTGCGGGTGGTGGGGGGAGGGTACGGAAAAATGAATCAATCTGCACTGCAGTCCTGACTGGTGTCCTCATCTGTGTGAGACAACATGTGTGTTCAGAGCAGTGAGGGATAAATAAAATACTGATGATGGTGGGGAAAAAAAAAAAGGAATTTACCACATTTTAGAAACTTAGCTATATACATTTCCACTGCATATATATAAACCAAGATACTGGTTTTGCAATATCATTCTCCAGTAATGGAATCAGAGCTCCTCAGAAAGATAGCTGCTTCCAGGGCTGAAGCAGGGAAAGAACAGGACAAGTCTGGAACACCTTGTACCAAAAAAGTAAAGAAGTGCTCAGAGAATGATGGGGACGTGTTAGAAGGGCCTGCGGCCCAATGGAAGGGGCTGTCACCAGCCAAAATGGGGATACCTGGAGCATCAAAACAAATAATGAGGGGCGCCTGGGTGGCTCAGTTGGTTGGGCGTCCGACTTTGGCTCAAGTCATGATCTCACGGTTTGTGAGTTCGAGCCCCGTGTCGGGCTCTGTGCTGACAGCTTGGAGCCTGGAGCCTGCTTCAGATTCTGTATCTCCCCCCGTCTCTGTCCCTCCCCTGTTCATGCTCTGTCTGTCTCTCAATAATGAATAAGTGTTAATAAAAAATAAAAATAAAAAATAAATTTTTAAAAATTTTAAAAAACCAACAAAATAAATAATGAGAGTAAAGAATTATAATCCTCTGACTAAAGTAAGAATCTGCGAGTCCACAGTGATACGATTAATGATTAAATAAATAAATGGGATGGCGGAGGTGGGGGCTGTTCCTTAGTGGAGAAAAACAACTACCATATGTAAGAGGAAGGACAGAATAGGAAAAATCACCATTTGCCAATTATCATCATAATCACTGATCCCGGCAAGAATCATCAAAGAATACTAAACTGGTGGATCAAAGTTTGAGAAGTAACAGGATATTCACATGGCCTCCAAATATATCCCTACAAACTACTTTTCGATTACGATTAAAATTTGCAGTGGAGAAACCTGACAGACTCCACTCCAACCAACTGATCAGAGTTACCATTGCCAGTACTGGTGTTGATGGACAGTGGAGCCTCCTGGTGTGATGCACAGAGAAGCCTGCATCACGTCCGGGACTGCTCTGCCAAACATAGAACCTAAACCCAACTGTGAGAAGACACCAGAAAAATCCAACCCAGATGCACTCTATAAAACAACTGGCCCGTGCTATTCAAAGCTGCCAACGTGGGACGCCTGGGTGGCTCAGTTGGTTAAGTGTCTGACTTCGGCTCAGGTCATGATCTCACAGTTTGTGAGTTCAAGCCCCGCGTCGGGCTCTGTGCTGACAGCTCGGAGCCTGGAGCCTGCTTCCGATTCTGTGCCTCCCTCGCTCTGTGCCCCTCCCCCGCTCATACTCTAAAAAATAAATAAACATTAAAAAAAAATTTTTTTTTAAAAGCTGTCAATGTGATGAAGACTGTAGACTAAAGGAATCACAATGTCAGGGGAGCCTGGGGGGCTCAGTCGGCTAAGCGTCCGACTTCAGCTCAGGTCATGATCTCAAGGCTCATGAGTTCAAGCCCCACGTCGGGCTCTGTGCTGATAGCTCGGAGCCTGGAGCCTGCTTCACATTCTGTCTGGGTCTCCCTCTCTCTCTGCTCCTTCCCTGCTCACACTCTGTCTCTCTCTCTCTCAAAAAGAAAAATAAACATTAAAAAAAAAAAAAACAAGTCAGATTAAAGGAATTGAATGTAGCATGTGCCCTTGAATTTTCTTTTGCTATATTTCAGTGTTAAGTTCCTGATTTTGATCATTGTACTGTAATTATGTACGAGAATTTCTTGCTTTTAAGAAATATACACTTAAATATTTAGAGATAAAGGAGAATCATGTCAGCAATATACTTCTAAATGGTTCAGAAAGAAAAAAATGAAGGGGTAAGTTCAGTAAGAGAGAAAAGGGAGAAAAGGAGACAAAGGTGGAGGGGAGGGGAGGCTAAGGATAAAAAAAAAAAAGTAACAAACCACTAACATTTCAGGAACCTCTGTGAGAGCATCTAGGAATTCTCTGTCCTATTTTTGAAACCTCTCTGTGTCTGAAATTATGTCAAAGTAAAAAAAAAAAAAATTAAGTTGGATATAAAGTGATACATTTGTCAAAACTCAGGGAACTGTATGTAATCTGTCCATTACATCATATATAAATTACATTTCGATTAAAATAATAAAAGCTTATTCTAGGTGTTTTATCAAATGTTGATGATTGGAACACTTCAATAATTAAAAACAGGGGTTAGAAACCCATCGAGGTCCTACAAAAAGCCTTCACTGACTTCATGCCTATCGAACGTCAAGCTCAAAATGAAAAACGAACACCAGTTGGGTCTGGCTGTCATTTCTGTGATCACACTGACCCACAGCACTCATGATTTTCCGGCTATAAAGACGGAGGCCTGCCACCTTCTGAGCATGCTCCGCGTGAGGCCCTCTGTGTGCTCAGCCGGTAACGCCATGAGCTACACCGCATTCCCTTGTTAATCAATCTCCAAATCCATAAGCCCACCACAAGCAAACCGAGATCTTAAGTTTTTTTAATTAAAAAAACGGGGGGGGGGGAGGAAGTGGCACCTGAGTGGCTTGCTCGGTTAAGCATCCGACTCCTGGTTTCAGCTCAGGTCATGATTTCATGGTTTGTGAGTTCGAGCCCCACGTCAGGCTCTGCGCTAACAGTACGTACACAGCCTGCTTGGGATTCTCTCTCTTTCTGTCTCCCTCTGTCTCTGCCCCTTCCCTGCAGAGGCTCTCTCTCCCTCTCTCAATTTAAATAAATACACTTTAAAAAAAAAAAAAAAAGGCAGGAGGGGGTGGAAGAAGCCAAACATGAGGGTAATGATTCCTGAGGAGTGCGCACGCAATGCCCAAAGAGCCTTGGGAAGATATTCTGGCTGATGCCAAAGCCCAGACCAGGAGCTGGCCTACCACCTGGCTGAGAACCTAAATTAATATCTTTCAAAGTAGTTTTAAAAGATTACCATCAATACAGTAGTCGACTATTTTTCTCAAAATATTGATAAAATGAAATGATTAAGACATGTCATACCTTGCTTTAGAAATACTATAAATTCCTTTGTAGTTTGGTCCAAATTAACTCCATGATACACTATAGGTTTGAAATTGCGATGCTCAAAAGAACGAATGAGGCGTACTGTAATGGTCACTTCTCTGGAAGCCATGCGGAGAAATTCCTGTGGCGAGGGACATGAGAACAGTCTGAATAACATCCATTCACAATTACCCAACAAGCGTGCATTTCCACCATCAGCTCCAGGGCGCCCGGCCATCATTCCCACGCTGCATGGTTACTGACGGAGTCCCCAAACCCAGGCCAGATCCCAGGCACCCAAAAGGGTCCCAAGGTTACCCCCATCTGTCCACTGTGACCCTGGACAGCTCTGTCACAGTCACTGATGTCCTGATTGGCACAAAACGAACAGGGCCCAGAGGAACACAAGTGACACAGGTGTGTGGGTGCGTGTACGGGAAGAAGTGGGGTTTCCAAGTGGATGCATGGCATAGACATGACTGAATGGGATTTGCTGTGCCAGATGTCCCCTCGCTTCGTCCTGAGACAGAGTCAGCTAACAATACGTCACGGTTTAATCTCACAACTGCTGCCAGATTTCAGTGCTGATTTCATTTTCTGCTGTGGTATTTTCCCTCTTTCACGCTATTGTTTAAGCACGTTCGCCTCATTCTAAAACTACATGCTCGTGCTATGTGCCAGCTGTTAATGTCATCTCCCCTAACTCTATCATCAAACCATGAGGTATTACACTGATTTTAAAGATGAGGAAACAGACTTGGAGAGACTGCACAAATTGCCCAAGGCCGTAAAGCAGGTAAATAATGGAGCCACATTTAATTCCAAACTGATGCCTGAATCGTGGCTCCCTTGTTTACCTGTTCCAAAGTCCATGCTCTCATACACTATCAGAAAATCACACCAAATTATTTCCTCAAAAATCTGCAAAGTTGCTTATGATCTAATGAGAGAATTATGGTCTACTTCTATCCAGTAATAAGTACTTCATGCTTTCAACTCTGCATACAATTTGCAGCCGTAATATACAATTGTATTTGGGAAAAAAACACCTGTAATACTACATATTAGACATCTAACCTCCCTAGTAATCAGAGAAATTCAAAATAATGAGATCACTTACTGAACTAACAGACTAAAAAATCTGATAATATCTAGTGTCGGCAAGGGTGTAGAGCAATGAGAATTTAATCAGGGAAGGTGGGCATCCTAAACAGGTACACTTTTGGAGACAATCTGGCAATATTTAGTAAAACTGAAGATATATGCTCCTTTCAATCCAGCAATTTCATTCATAGGTACCTGAGGGAACCTCCCAAATATGTGCAAAAGAACATTGTTTATTAATTCCAAAAACTGGAAACAAAATGTCCATCAACAGAAGAGGTAAGTAAACTATGGCATTCGGTGAGACAGTATAGGCACTAAAAATAAATGGACTATACACACCAACATAAATGAATCTCAAAAATATTATGGCAAAGGAGGGGCAGCTGGGTGGCTCAGTCGGTTAAGTGTCCGACTCCAGCTCAGGTCATGATCTCACGGTTCATGGGTTCAAGCCCCACATAGGGCTCTGTGCTGACAGTGCAGAGCCTGCTTAGGATTCTTTCTCCTTCTCTCCCCATCCGATCCCCACTTGTGCTCTCTCTCTCAAAATAAATAAGTAAACTTTAAAAAATATATATTGTCATCTGCAAAAAGCGAAAGCTTGACTTCATCTTTGCCAATTTTGATGCCTTTGATTTCCTTTTGTTGTCTGATTGCTGATGCTAGAACTTCCAGCACTATGTTAAACAACAGCGGTGAGAGTGGGCATCCCTGTCGTGTTCCTGATCTATGACCCAGCAATAGCACTGCTAGGAATTTATCCAAGGGACACAGGAGTACTGATGCATAGGGGCACTTGTACCCCAATGTTCATAGCAGCACTCTCAACAATAGCCAAATTATGGAAAGAGCCTAAATGTCCATCAACTGATGAATAGATAAAGAAATTGTGGTTTATATACACAACGGAATACTACGTGGCAATGAGAAAAAATGAAATATGGCCTTTTGTAGCAACGTGGATGGAACTGGAGAGTGTGATGCTAAGTGAAATACGCCATGCAGAGAAAGACAGATACCATATGGTTTCACTCTTATGTGGATCCTGAGAAACTTAATAGGAACCCATGGGGGAGGGGAAGGAAAAAAAAAAAAAAAAA